AATATGTCTGATGCAAATTGTGCCAAAAATTTGGTCACACTGCAGATGTATGTCGTTTCAAATCGCACAATCATTTTGATGCTAAGCCCAACTTTTCCTCTAATTTGCAGTCAACAAACAACTCTTGGGTTATCGATTCAGGTGCGACTTATCATGTCACGGCTGAACCTCATAATCTTGAAGAGTATATAGGAAATGAGGGAATATTTATGGGTGACAGTAATACCATTCCTATTACTCATACTGGTTCAACTCAAATACAAGTACCTAATTCTGCTTTCAGGCTTTCTAACACTCTATGTACTCCATTAATTATAAAAAACCTTATTTCTGTAGGCAAGTTTTGTCAAGACAATCTCATAGCTGTTGAGTTTTTTCCTTTTACTTTTCTTTTGAAATACCTGCATACTCAGAAGCCACTGGTACAAGGCCGGAATAAGAATGGACTCTATGAAAGGCCGCATCTGCCAACCAGACCACCAATATCCATCAATTTCGCCTCCACAAAGGTTCCTTTTCAGCTATGGCATAGTCACTTCGGTCATCCTTATTCGAAAATTTTTAAAGATTGTTTGAAAAAAAATTCTTTACCTGTGGCTACTACAGAGAAATTTGAAGTTTGTAATACTTGTTCTTCTAATAAAGCACATCGTTTGCAATTTCAACGACTCACTTTATCCAGTAATATACCTCTTCATGTCATCATTGGGAACCATTGCACGTTTTATCACTAGACAAAAAGTTATATTACTGTATCTTTGTTGATCAATACACCAATTATACATGGTTGTATACACTTAAAAATAAAATTGAGGTCACCTCCTTGTTCCAAACCTTTCATCCTTTGGTAGAGATTTTTTCAAAAGATAAAATTAAATCTCTCTATACTGATGGAGGGGTGAATACAAAAGTCTTCAGTCCTATCTTCAACATAATGGCATAGAACATTTAGTTTCACCTCCCTACACGCCACAACGCGTTGCCATAACTGAACGTCGTCATCGTCACATTGTTGAAACAGCCAAAACACTTCTCCATGAGGCATTCCTACCACCAGACCTATGGTATTTTGTTTGCCATCATGTTGTTTATCTCATTAATCTGCTACCCACTCCCATCTTACATAACGCATCACCCTACCAACAATTATTTGGTAAATCACCCAACTAGGCCAATCTTAATATTTTTGGTTGTCTCTGTTATACATGGCATAAACCCTATACCAAAAATAAGTTGGAGCCTAAGTCCACCCCTTGTGTGTATTTAGGTGTTTCTCGGAGCCATCATGCATACCTCTGCTTTGACACAATGCGGTAAAAAATATTCATAAGTCGTGATGTTCTCTTTTATGATAGATTTTTCCTTTTAAAATGATGTTTCTACAGATTAGGAAAAACTTTCCTCAATAGACCTAGTAAGATGTTAACTCCAAGGAGGAAACTCTGAAGTCGGTTCCCGTTCCTGTAGAGAATAGCAGAAGAAAGTATAATTGGGGAACCTTCTGCTAGGCCAAGATCGTTAACTAAGATCGGAAGATTCAACTAAGGCAGAAGAAGCTAGAAAGGAGAACTTGTTTATGGAAGAAGACTCTTGAATTTGAGTTGTTCTTGGATTTCTTGGGTTATTCTTCGGTTGTTTACAAATGACTATGGCCATCCCTATTTATAGTGTAGGGATGCTTCTAGAAATTATTCTAGATAGATCTACAAGAATAATCTAGATGACATTATCTTCTAACTATCTAACAAGAATCTAGATTATTCTATACTTTAATATAAATATCTAATTATCTAGCACATCTAGATTTTTCTTAAGTATAAATATCAAAGATATTTACTCTACCAAATTCTAGAAAGTTCTACTAAATGCATAGATATTTTTTGTACCTCTGAAAAATCAACTTTAATTTTTCACAATTCCAACTCCCTCTCATGATACACCACCACCTATACCACTGTCCTTAGAATCCCCTTTACCTGGATTACTAGTACAGGATACTCGCTTCTTCAATTCTGGCCATCTACTGCTACGGATCCAGGTAATTCTAAATTTTCTTTTACTTCTTCACAGCATCACACAACCTCAAACACACGACCTACATCTTTGCGAATATATTAACGACATAAATCTAACATTACCATTCCACACCAAATCCCGGCTGCTCCCTTTCCAGCTACCATTTCACCATTGACAATTTCTTCACTTCCTGGCAGTGAAAGTCCCATCCCTGAACACCACCCCATGCCAATTCCAGAGCCTGCACCAAACCGAATAACCACTAGGTCCCAAAATAATATTACCAAGCCTAGAAGACATTTAATATTTACAATTCACGTCACTCCTACACCAACAACCTTCAAACAAGCTACCATCTATGAAGAGTGGAAATAAGCTATGAAAGTAAAATATGATGCTTTAAAGAAGAATCAGGCTTGGAAATTGGTACCAAAAGACTCAATGAAGAATGATGTGGACTGCAAATGGTTGTATCACATTAAACGAAAAGCAGACGGTTCTATAGATCGATACAAAGCTTACCTTGTTGCAAAAGGGTTCACGCAGCGCCCTGTCTTGGATTTTCATGAGACCTTTAGTCCTGTTATTAAGCAAACAATAGTGCGACTTGTGTTATCCATAGTGGTGCAACACAATTAGTCGATTCATCAACTCGACGTCAAAAATGCTTTCCTGCAGGGCCAGTTTACTAAAGATTTTTTTATGTCTCAACCTCAAGGACTTGATAACTCACAATTCCCTTCTCATGTTTGCAGATTAAAAAAAACCATTTATGGACTTAAACAGGCGCCGTGGGCTTAGTATACTGCATTGCATGATCATCTGCCAAAATTGGGAGTTATTAAGTCCGAATCTGACACCTCTTTGTTCATTTTGAAGAATTTGGTATCTACTATCTATGTGCTCGTCTATGTTGACGACATTTTGATCACGGGAAGTCATCCCGTCTTGATTAGACATGTTTTTGATTCCTTGGGTTTACGTTTTTCTTTGAAGGATCTAGAGTACTTAAACTACTTTTTGGGTGTCGAGGTTAAAAACGTGTCAGGTGAACTTCTTCTCACTCAATCAAAATACATTCTTGATATTCTGTCTAAACTAGATATGAAAGATTGTAGAGGAGTCCCGATACCAATGTGCTTTGGTAAGCTACCTCGGGAAGCTAATGGTTTTCCACTTGCTAATGCTACCTCTACAGGGGCACTCTCGGTAAGTTGCAATATTAATTATCATTCACACGGCATGACATTTCTTATGCTGTTAACAAATTGTTATACATGATCCTATTGATGAACACTCGAAGGCGGTTAAAAGGATACTACGGTTTCTCAAAGCCACGACAACTTCAAGTCTTCATATTCTTCACAACTCAGACTGCAATCTTTCAATGTACACTGATCTTGATTGGGTGGGAGATCCGAATGATAAAATACCCGCATTAGGCTATGTTCTTTTTTTGGGTGCAATCTTGTGAGTTGTTCGTCAAAAAATCAACAAGTTGTAGCTCAGTCATTTACTGAAGCAGACTACCAATAAGTTGCAAATGCTCTTGCCGAACTAACATGCATGGACAACTTAATCAATGATTGTGTGTCACCATTCCAAATATATCCACAATCTTTTGTGACAATGTTGGTGTCACTTATCTCTATCAGAATCTAGTGTTCCATAGCCGTATGAAACATATTGTTGTGAACTTTTGTTATGTTAGGAACCAACTTCAAGCACACCGAGTTCTTATCAAACACACTCATGCTTGTGATCAACTTGCCGATACATTTACCAAGACATTACCAGCACCATCCTTTGCAAGGTGTCATTCCAACTTAGGTGTTGTTGAACCACTCTTAACTTGAGGGGGTGTATTAACCATAATTATTTTATCTTATAATAAGTTATCGTTATAGTTACTGCTTTTTAGTATCTTTAAAAACTCCTCATATTGTAGGAGTTTAATGTTGTTGTATATTTGTAGAAGAGTCCTCCAACGTTTTAGGAGTTTATGCATCAATTAGCTTTCTTAAGTTTAGCTACAATTTGTTGTTATTGGTTGTATTTAACGCTTGGATGCTAAAGGAATAAAATCATCTTTCGACTAATTTTGTCTATCAAATTTTATAGTATTGGTAAGAATAGAAAATCACTATCTGTTTAGTTTGTAAGTCTTGTAACTTAATGTACTTACCTTGTACTCTGCCTCATTCTTCTGTTCAGGTGATTTCCAGTTTGATGTTGGAAGAGGAAGACATCTCCGTACCGTTTTTGGAACGCAGATGGTTGACAATAAGTTCTTGTATTTGAAAACTTTCCTTCCTACTGCTCGACAACCTCTTAAGGTCAACTCGTAATTTGGAAAACCTAATGATATTTCTTGATATGCCGGTATGTTTTCAATTCACAATATCTTTATGTCAAATGTATATTGATCCCTTACAGCCTCAACGACTTCAATTTCATTACTATAGTTGTTAAGCTCACCACCTAACCTGATTTGTCTGTCTTTGGTATTTGTAGTACCATCCTTTTTTTGAGGACAGAGACATTGATTCGCTGGAAGACAAGTATGTCTTGTTTGAAGAAAACATATTCAAAGTTTTCTTACAAAATTTGAAGAATGTCAAGGTTATGTCATTTTGTAGTCGTACGCGTAGTTCTGACGCAACAAAGCTCCGCCTATTCTTGAAGTTCTTTCTTGAGCATGCAACAAATCTGGAGAAACTTGTCATAGTACCAGAGCATAAGGACTACAACAGTTTCTCTACTAATACCTCAAATCTAATGAAGCATTTGTTAGCTTTTCCAACAAGTGCAATTATTTCCTTTTGACCAATTAGTCATAATGTTTTCTATTCCTAGTTTGTTGCTCTTATTTGGTTGACATTCTTCTTCTTTTTTTAATGAAGATAACTTGTTATGAAAATTATATTATGTGCCAGCCATTAATTAGAACAAAAAATAGTTGATCGTCCCTTAGCCTAAGGTTTGTGGTTGTAAAAAGGAGAGCTAGTTTGCATCTCCCTCTACAAGGATGGAATCAACCTTCGGGTTTTACCTGTTACCAGACATCCATTTAAGGCATTCCAACTTGGTGGGACCAGAAAATAATGTGGTCTAGTTGATGGTATTGTTGTCTCTTAGCAAGCAGTCTTTGGACCTAGCTTTGGGTATAGAAAAATCTTTGGTAGGGTGTTACCCTCGAATGGGCCCCTACGGAGGCAAATAATTATTTAGGTTCCAATGTGGATATCAAACACCGTAAAAATAAAAAAATAAAAAAACATGAAAAGCCAATTTTTAATGAAATTTAGCTATCTTTTATAGTAGAACTATATAAAGGATGCATGTACAAGGCATGTGCTTTAAGTATTGAGATGCAAATAAAGAAAAGATGATTAAGCCATATATTAACATATTTATGTTTCATCATATGTTACATTTAGTTTGCGGAACATTATACTGTGAGCTTTCTAGAAAGGCTACAGCATATCATAGTCTTTTTTAATTTATTTGGTAAGCCCGAGACTGTGGAAGCACACCACAAACTTCTTGTTCGAAGGTCCACCTGTAGTTCGACTACCTGAGAAGTGCAAGGAGTCGATCTCTAATAAAATAACAATGTAACTGTTATAATAAGTGTTGCTAAATGACACAGAAAGAAACAACTGGCTTTACAACATAAATGCTATGAAAGTAAAGCTCCAAAATGATGGATGTGTTAGTTGCGTATTTCACCATTGGTGATGCTGCAATGCAACCGAAGAAGACAAAAACTTTGAACAAATGCATAGAAATGCTAATCCAATTCTTATAAAATAAAATCATTTAGACAATAAAAAACTAGACCTCATACCAATAACAGTTACAGAAGTGAGAAAAATAAGAACAGTAATAGTAAAGTTGAAAGATTAAAAGGGTTCTTAGAAGGCTGAAATAAATTTAAAAGACCGTCCCTTTTCGCATCTTTGTACCTTATGTCTAGAGATAAACAAAGCACAATATAAAGGGCATAAGATTAACATTTGCATAGTCGAGAACAAAAATTTGAATTTTAGAAGAATACAAAAAGCAAATGAGAGGCGAAATTTCCTCCACCTTGCGATACATGCTCTCATAGCAGACCACAAAAGGCAAGATGATATAGTAATGAAAGTGAAACAAAACTTACACTATCACTAGTTAATGCCAAAGGTTAGAAGTCTTGTTTCTGAATAAGAAATACTAAAAGTTTAGAGAGGTGAAATTTCTTTCATCTTTCCATACATGTTTTCATACCAGAATCATGCTAGACTTGATATCTCTGTCTCTTCCGAGCAATGGAATATTGGGTGACATACTAGCTATTCTAGGGTACATATGCTTCTTCCTACTTAGTAGATTTTCTTAAAAAAATTAATATCATTATGTGACTTTAGGTTTTCTAACTAATGAATGTTTTTCCTATACCATTTCACTACTCTAACAGATAGGTTCAGGTACATACAACAGGCTATTCAGACCAGGTTATTTAGAAAGTGGAAGGACAATTTCCATGAAGAAGGTGCGATTTAATAACATCGAGCCAAAAAGTGTTAGATTTATGGCACGTGAAATTATGATCCTCTGCCTTGATCACCCCAATATCATCAAATTAGAGGGTCTCACTACCTTTAGATTGTCTTGTAGCATGTATCTTGTGTTCGAAGTTATGGAAAAAGATATTTTATGACTCATGTCTTGTCTAGAGTTGTGTTCAGTGAATCACAGGTTTTCTAACTTTTCAAAACATTAGGTTACCAGTTGTAACATCTCGCAATTTGAAATGGCTAGGAAAAAGCTAAGTAATGGAAATATTCAATTTTTGAAAATAATGAAAATCTTGAAATTTGTTTAAGTTAGGAAAAAGTTGGGTTTTGGCCAACTTCAAATGGCCATAACTTCTAGCTCAAGATGAGTTAGAGGTACTTACAGATATGGTAAGAAATATCTTGCAATGATCTTTCCAACGACGCTGAGTTTGTGTTATTCCGAGTTCCTATGAGTGAGTTACGCCCATTGGAAGTTGGGTTGTTCAAATAAAGAAATGTCCAATCCGGATTTTTGTAGGTTATTTCATTCCTTTCCTTATCCAATTAATTTAGTTCATTTTATTGAATTAATTAAGGGTAAAATCAGAATGAGATCAGTTTGGTCAATTGGAAATTCACGCTAGGGCTTTGAGAAAAGAGATAATAGGAAAAAGGAGAAGAAAAGCTCAAGGTTCACCAAGAACGATCGATTTTGGTTGTGGATTCACCAAGGAATTCATATTACAAGGTATGTGAGTCTTTCATAGCATTGGGTTCATGCACCCATGCGTCAAAGATGTTTAGTTCAGTGAAATCCGTCCTAAAAGATTTTGAAAGTTGATGTTCTTGACCTGTATTCTTGAATTTGAATGTTGTTCTTGAATTGGGATGAATTGAGGAGTTTCTGAGATCTTTGAGTCGAATTATAGAGTTGTTTTGAGTTAGGTTCTCAGGTACATATGCTAGGTATTGGAATCTAAAATGAATTTGAGATCAATAGTCGAGTTTAGGTGAATTGGGGCTGTAAAATGGGGAAGCAAAAAGTCGAGCATGATCTGGCACGCAGATCTGCGTCGCGGATTTGCTCTCCCAGTGACAAAAAAGTTTCTCCGTTTCGCAGTTAAGATGTCAACTACTCTGTCTCAAAATTTAATTTCGCGAGTAATTATTTATAACAACTCCGCTTTGCGGACCTATTCCAAGACAGTGATTTCGTGAACTTTTTCATGTTTAGCTATTTAAGATCATTCCTAAACATCATGTGATCCTTCCTCTTACAAATCAAAATCCTTGAATCCATAATTCAATTCATGGACCAGTTAAGAGTCAAGTCAAGAGCAGTTAAGGTCAAAGTCTAGAGAAGCTCTTAAAGTTTTCCAAATGTCTTTTGCAAACGTTTTAACTTTGTTTGAAGACATAAGTTTTGAGTTCAGTAAAGAGTAAAGCTTGAAGTTCATTTCTTCAAAAGTATATGGGGACTATGTATTCCCAAAGGGTTTAAAATGTTTTCACATTTAAACAAGAAAGGAAAGCTCGATTTCCAAAGGGCCTTACGGGCTAGTTTTCAGAAAAGAGTAATCGCTTTCTAAATGAAGCAAGAGGGGAAACTTTGATTTCCAAGATAGCCTTTGAGCTATGTTTTTGAGCAATAATCTCAAATCACAGAAGAAGTATGTTTTAAACAAAAAGAGTTGGTTTCATATTTTGGGAGTAGTATTGAGCACCGATATGGGGGAGCGTTAAGAGAACACCCAGCCCCCATAAACCATGTAGCCATTATGGGTAAAAAAGGGTCATACCTTTTTGATGAACCCTTAGTGCTTTTTAGAATAGACTAGTGGATCTACTTAGTAGTTCAGGTTCTATACCCGCGGCAAAGTATAGGATGGCCCTGGCAGCGTGGGGCCAAGAAACGTTGTATCATCCCTATAGCTCTTAAGTGATGGTTGTCGGTTAGAGAAACTCCCACAACAATATTTTGTATTTTTATATACATCAGTTTATTTGTATTTTCATATACAAACAAAGTTCATATTATATCTTTGCATACAAACAGAGTTATTATTGTATTTCTAAATACAGAGAGTTGACATAATGTTTTAAACAACTTTTCTTTATGTTGCACTTATTTTAAAACTGTTTTATATTTAAATAAGTTCAGTAAGTTGAGTTAAGTTATTCAGGAGTTAAGTAAAGCCAAGGTAAGTGTTTCTTTTAGATCATTTTCAAGCTTAAGTTATGTTTAGCATTCCAACTCGCATACTCGTACATTCAATGTACTGATGTCAGTTGGCCTGCATCTTATTATGATGTAGACGCAGGTAACCAGGATCAACATCCAGCGCATCGTTGATCCAGTTGAGCTTCAGAGTTATTGGTGAGCCTTCTTGCTTCTGGAGGATCCCCTTATTCATTACTTTATCATTTTAGTTCATTAGGATATCGTGGGCCTGTCCTGACATCCATCTCAATTGTTTTAGAGGCTTCATATATAATCAGTCAGATGTTAGTTCATTCGTCTTCATTTTGTTATTGGTTTATGTTCAAATTTGGGTTGCCATTTTATTTAAGTTAAATGTTTGTTTTTAAAACATTATGAGTTCATTTTGAGACATGTTGAGTTATCTTGTATTTGTATTCTCTTTCTTATGTCTAAGCCTTCCACTGAGTAAGTAAGCCAGGCCAAGGGTTAGCTTGGAGCCAACAATGGTTCTCGAGTGCCGGACACGTCCAGGGTGTAGGCTCGGGGCTTGACAAACTTCGTATCAGATCCCAAAGTTCAAGAGTCCTAGGGAGTCTATGAAGACGTGTTTGTAGATTCCTAGTTATCGGTGTGAAGCGTGCCACATCTATAATTAGGAGGCTGCAACACTTAGGAAAATTTCTCACTTCTTTCACACTCATTTCGTGCGTTAGAGTTTGATCTCTAAAAAGTTTCCCTCTAATTCGTGCTTGTGCGTGTTTCCAGATAATCATGCCTCCACGAAGTGTTGTTCGAGGTCGTCCTGTTAGGAGAAATGTCGAGGAACAAGGGGTACCTAATGCACCAGAAGTGCAGCCCCAAGGAGAGGTCACCAATACTGAATTATGTGAAGCTATCCGGATGTTAAGTCAAGTTGTGACCCATGAAGATGGACAGAGAGACAATCAATAGGAATTGGCTGATACTTCAAGGATCTGTGAGTTTTTAAGGATGAACCCACCAAGCTTTACATGTTCAAGTGTGAGAGAGGATCCAGAGAACTTTGTTGAAGAACTATAGAAAATTTTCGATATTATGCATGTTGTAGATGCTGAGAGGGTGGGACTAGCTGCCTACCAAATGAAGGGTGTGCTAGAGTATGTTTCAACAAATGGAAAAAGAATAGGGTTGAGGATCCGCCAATAGTGAGTTGAGATGTGTTTGAGAGTGCTCTCATGGGATGTTTCTTTCCCCGTAAGTTATGAGAGACAAAGATAAGAGTGTTTCTCACCCTTAATCTGGAGTCTATGAGTGTTAATCAATATAGTCTGAAGTTCGCACAACTTTCCCACTATGCCCCAGAGATGGTTGTTGACATGATGAGCAG